CATTCCCCCTGTCCTTCCCCTTGTCCCACCCTTAAGTAGGTGGCCTAAACACTTACACCTGTGCAAGTGTTGAGGCCTTCTGGGAACTGTAGTTAGACTGCGGCTGCCATTTTGTAGGGTGCAGCTGTCCCTTAAAGGGGAAGTAGCACCCATCCATTACTTGTTCCGTGTGATGTCACAATGCGTATCACAAACAATTTCACACCTTTTGCGAAGGTTTTGGAGGTTAGGGGGGGCAATCTGCTATACCCATTTTGCCTTGCTAAGGGAGCTGTCCCTCTTTTCCGTGTGGTGTTAGTCAGATCCAATAGCCATACAAATTGGCCAAGCAGACTCGTAATTCTCAAAATTCAAATGTTTTTTTTGTGGGTTATATTGATTTATTTGTTCACCAGCAACATATGAACTGATTTGTACACATCATAACACTCACAGGGGATCCCCTTTACCCCGACGGAAAAAACATTGTCCAGATAGACAAAGTAGTTCCAGAGTTACTACACTTTTATCGTGGGTGTGCCATTTTCAGAGCAGAGGCCAAAAAACAAGTTAAGCTCCATCCAGGATTCAAGACTTTGAATGAAATGGTCGTCGTTGGCTTTGCAGACTGTAATCTCAGTATGGATTCCGTCGTTTTAACATAAAGGCTTGCTTATTACAAAGTTCAATAAACAGGATGTACTGAATGTTCTTCTCATTCAGGCTCTTGAATACAGCCTTTTTATGCACAAGGCACAAATAAGTACAAATGACCCAATCTTAAGTTGTTAAGGGTATCCTTAATATGATAGAGCCATCTTTCATTTATTATGTCCTGTTGGGGAAGAATGTTGGCTTCGAGTTTCTATGGAAATGACCTGCTGAGGTTCAGCTCTCGGCTCCCAGCATGACAACTTGTTATAAAAGAAAAAAAGGTGGTCATGTGTTTTTTTCTTTCTGAAAATATTTGAAGTGAGAAGAAGGCCACACTATTGGTATCTGTCTTGATGTTAAATTGACACATTTTAGCGGGTTGTCTAAAGAATTTCCAGAGGTAGACAATCTCAATTGTGTTCCTGGGATCTAAATTTCCTGCACTTTAATATTTAAAATGCGGAGTGTCTGGCTCCAAATGTTTCATCGTCACAATTCATCTCACAGTTGATTGGCTTGGTTGCATGTTTAAAACTGTGTGAAACGTCACTAGGGCGAGTAAAAGGGAAGCTCATCCTCGGAGCAGCAGCTGATCACAACGCAGGACGACGTGTCCTGGTCTAAAGTTTTACCCAGGTACCTCCTGGATGAACACGTGAACATGGCAGGCGTAGTGATATATGGCTGCAATCCGCCCGCTGCAGCATGACACCACCATCCGTTGCCATGGGAGACGAGATGATATATATATGCAACAGCAAAGCTAAGGGCTCGGTATAAGCGGCGTTATTGTTAATGCCCTGATCCTGCAGTCGTATGCAAAAAAATATGCTACTCAATGAAACTAATAACACTTTAACTAGCATGGGTTTCATGATTTTATGTGAGTGATAATGATAAAAAAAAGGATTTCGTTTTTACAGCCATGACCGAAGGACAAGGGAGGGGGATTTTTTGATGTGTTCAAAGGAGGCTGATTGTTCCTCCAACCCGTCGCAGAGCCGCGGAGTCGTGTCTCCCACTGCTCCACGTGATGGATGTTTCCTCTTGCTCTTGTGTCCTATTGCAGTTTCACGTGGATGTCTATATGCTGTGCTCCGTCTACCACTGACTATTTGTTGCGAGGGATAAGACGGCAGGTCGTCAGCGGGGGAAGCAAGATGCATGTGCAACGTTTGAGAGGACGTGCAGTGAATCAAAATGAAATATCCTTCCTACATGGGTGACTTCCTTAGGGCAGAGGAGATGGGCTTTATTGATTTCGGCAGAAGATTAATGGAGAGGAGTCAATATGTACTGGGCTTCAAAGGAACAATACGAACAATATGGAAAAATTACCTTTAGGTTAAATGAAGTCGGTGGTGTTTTTTTTCTATCAGTTGACGGATTCTGCAGTGGGTTAGATCTGTTCTTTAAAACGTGGTGTTCAAAACTATAAATATGTTTGCTATTTTTAATTTCATTGAATTGCGAGTAATCCAGTTAGTTAAGTGTTGCCACTCTCTCAAAAATGTTCCAAAAGGAAAACCTTATACCGTCATCAATAACACACCTATTTCTGATTTTTACACCCTAGCTATACCCTCTGGGAATTGAGAACGGCACAGCGCCTGCTGGTGTTCAATCGTCCTCTGGTAGAATCTGTAATGATCCAGAGAGAGGAATGCAGATGGTAAAAATAACCTCTCCATTCAGATTGACACATTTGTAAAAAAGAACCAAGTAGTCCTTATTTTCTGGCATCATCAGCAACAATGCCAATAATGTACATATTCTTCTAGTTCTAGAATTGATCAATAATTTGAGCTGTTTTCTGAAAATACTCGGAGTAGCTCTTATTATCAGTTAGTTGTCACGGTTTGGGTTCATGTCTGATTTTATTTGTAGTTTCTTGCCTCTGTTCTCCCTGGGTCACATCACTTCCTGCCTTGTCCTGTCTTCCACTGTGATTGTCTGTCATTGTTGTTCCCAGCTGTGTCCAATCACCTGCACCTCACTAGTGTATTTAAACCATGTGTGTCTCTTGTCACTTGTCGCGTCATTGTTCCATGTTGGTGGATGTCAGAAGCCCATGTTCCATGTTCCATGTTCCATGTCCTTGTTCCTGTCCCTAGCGCCTGTTCCATGACTACGTTTTTTGCCTTTTTGGAATTCTGATTTTGAAGACTGTTTTGACTATTAAAGTCCTTTTTGTTCTCGTCTGAACTCTGCGTCTGAGTCCTACCTTCCCTCTCTCCTCGCACGGACCCCGTCCTAACAGTAGTATTCATCAAGCCTTGAAATCGACAGGAACCAGGCCGCTCACTGAAAAAGGAAAGCAACTCCCGACCACTGTCAGACCTTCTCTTTGGAACTAAAATAACTGAAGAAGTTGTCAGCTCTTTCAACTCAAATACCAGCTTTGCTGAGTTCATATTACCCCCATTTACACCGTTCTGTCGCCAAGCAACTACAGTTCCACATGTATCTATGCAAGGGAACTGAGCAGATGAGTGGCTTCATGTACCTAGACATTTTCCATTTAAATGTGAACAAAAGGAGAGAGAAAGATGAACACAAAAGTTAGGCATCCTACCATCTAAAAAAGAAGGATTGATGTCAAGTAATGACAAACTCCCGCTTCCATCTCTGCTTGCTAAGAATATTGCAACCGTCTTTTCTCAGCTCCCTTCAAAGGAACTCTAACAACATCAACACATTCACAATGCTGCTGCTCAAATTCAGGTACCACTGACAGGATGTTAGACTAGTGCTGGCATATACCACTGACAGGATGTTAGACTAGTGCTGGCAAATGTTATTTTTGTAAGTGTTAACTTACAAAAATAACATTTACCTGTTACGCATTTAGCCCAATTGCTTAATTTACATTAACTTAATTTATCTGTTGACCGATTGAGTTGTCCAAATGGGACTTGCCGGGACGAGCTCTGGGAAGACAGGCCTGGTGTGTGTGTGTGTGTGCGCGCATGCTTTATACTCTTTTCCATTATATTAGGGGGGCACCCCAAGAAATCGGCCATTTCATTTTCTATAAAGCGCCAGATCACAACAGAAGTCATTGAAGGTTAACTTTCCTATAGATTCTTTCAGATGAAATATTTTGTTATCTTGATATTGAGATTATTTATCTTGGTTACAACGCGGCATCTTATTACATGGTGCTGCTTATAGTCCTCTGCTCTCTGTATTGCACACGGCAGGGTAGGTGAGTAAGTAGGTGTGCATGTGTTCGGGAATGAGTATGTGTCCGTTCTGCCATAGTCGGCTATTGTATATGTCCAGGGTGAAGCGTGTCTTGGCCCAATGTCAGCTGGGATCGGCTCAGATAGCAAATTAATAGAAAACTAAAACTAAAAGAAGTAGTTACAATATGCGTACTCGTGGGGCATGGGATCATAAACTCCCAGTTCACATCTAATCTTGGATGGGATCACTGAGAATACAATAAAAGGTATCTGGGATGGGTAATTTCAATGGACATGGTGCTTCAAAATGTCCCCAACTGACATTGCGAAAGACATCCGTCTCTACTTGATACAACACACATTCACTAAAGGCTGTACTTGTACAACATATTTTTTACAGCTTTATTGGCTTTTCTTTTTTTTCCTGAACGGAGACTGTTGTTGCGTCTGATGGAATCTGTGACGACAGTTTGATCATGCCTCATTATGCATGAATCACACCTTACTCATTGTCAAATTAGGACATTTCACGCGTGATGAAAATGGAATATTGCTCTCTCTGCAAAGTCACAGCTTCTAAATGAAGAAATGAGTCCTCCGTTATTTGCTACAATTTGACTTTCTTCCCGTTTGATCGCTTCATGATCTCTGAAGTTTTGGCGTCTCATCCAGCTCATGCTCCGTTTTCATTACAGGCGCATTGCCCTGCTTGGTTTTGTGCAACATTCGAATGCGACACGTCGTCAGTGTCAGGTATCCTAAAAAGGAGAAGTTGAACGTATCTGTGGAAGGCCACTGATATGAAGAGTGCCCTGTTTATTCAAGTGAGATGTTGGCCTTCCCTTGCATCCAACACTGAAGACTTTGTTTGCATTTTCCTTTTTCCATTTGTCTGCAGATCGAGCTTCTCTTTGATCCAACACCATCGACTTGGCTTGTTTTTCTCTCCTGTCATCAAATATAATATTAATATTTATTGAATATTCTTAAAGCCAACAGAAATGAGATGTAGAGCCACCCTTTGATCTAACACTGAAGAATGAAATCTCTTCTGCTAGAAGAGTAAATCTTTTTCAAATATCACATTTTTTTTTACCATATACTTTTTTCCAGGTGGCTCACTCCCATGCAAGGACTGCATTCATATTCATTTGTATTTTCTCTTGTGTGTCACCGCAGGCATGGTGAACTACAGCGAGGTGTCTGGCTACCCGCTCGTTCAGCACTGGAGTCTACGCTCGGTGCTCTACCACGTGAAACTTAATCAGTGGGTCCTCTCTCAAGGTAAATCACTGTAACTTTATATATAATTTTATTTAATAGTTTATTTATGCTGCAGGAGACTACAAGTTCGCTCAGGGGTCTCTATGGCATAAACTGTCACATTCTCCAAGGACGGGAAGCCGCCAACGTGGGCCATCAATTATTCATCCAATTGTAATTAATGTGACACATGAAGGGTAGCAGCTCATCATAACAGCCTGGGTGCTTTGTTTGATTTACTATTTTTGATCAGCTATGTGATTAACAGGAAAGGATAGGCGAATAGGCCCAAGTTACTGATATAAATATTCACCTTTCAATGCTAAGCTTACTTTAATATTATGTTATGTCGTCACTTTTCTTACCCCCTAAACCAGAAGCAGTTCATGTTTTTTTTAAATGTTGCCAGAGGAATAAGCAAAGTCTCTTATCAGCAGCAGTTTGTTATTACAGTTCTTGAACATATAGAACGTCACCTCGGGGCGCATTGCAAGAATTGTTGTAATGTGCCGCTAAAAGGTTCAAGTTGGGTCTATTATATAAAATCTAACCCTTGTTGAAGCAGTCAATTATAGTGTGATTGTGGCGCTGCTGCTTAGCTGCAGTCCTCAGGAGAGAACTCTGAAAGGCAATAAAGGGGTCAGGGTCGCGTTTCCTTTAATCAAGAATAAGCAAAATGTCACTTAAAAAGGGCACGTACCAAAAAAAGCTGCTCGACAAGCACGGCCAAACAAGAGGGCCGCAGTGGCATCCGACTGCTATAACACTAAGCTCAACTGCTCTGGTAGTTGTTTTGTGACTCATCATTTTGAATGTACAGCAGACCCAGAGGCATGCATATTTCTTGGGGTGCTTTTGAACAGACAAAAAATGAAAAGGAATCCAGAGGAGCAAACAATAACATCATAACGTCTTAGCAAGAAAATAATTTCCTGTTTTGGTTTTCTTGATCAAATCAATGACTCAAAACTATGAAATGTTATGACCATTGTTGCGACCATTGTGTCAGCAGTGAGTTAGTTAATAGGGTAATAGTTAATCCGGCTGGGTTTGATATCATAGTACTTTACAGGTAAGATAATGGAATTTGATAGGAAGGTGGTCTGCATTTGTGAATTAGTATATCATGGTCCCCACCTTGTGCCGTACATGCATCACAAGGCTTTGCATCCATAGAGACACCAAGGCGTTGTGACAACGCCTGCCATGGAAACTTCACAGAATAGGATAACTGTGGATAGCTGTTTAGTCAAGCAATGCTTCTTCTGAAGGCCACTCCGGGCTGCCGACACGGCGGGTACAACGCTGAACATTCGCCTCACTAGATAACTTGGGATGTCCTGTTGACAAGGGAAAATCTCTTCTGTGATTCAGTCATTTAGGCTTTTGTCACTTTCTTTTGTCGGGTCTTAAATTAATGCATTATTCATAGCATCCATCATCAGTAGTTTCTTTCTGATGCAGCCACCCCTGTCGTAAATACACCAATGACACCTCCAATGCGTTTCCAACGGTGCCGCAGTGGTTTGAAAGGGCTAGAGTTTCTATTTCCCCCTTTTGCTCAGAAGCGTCCCAGCAGTCTTTCTGGGGGTTTTTTTGTACTCCCATTTCCCACTTTAGCTCTTCATATTTCAACAGCCACCGGAGGGGGTTTAGGCGACTGATTTTTAATGTCCGATAGCGAAGCCCCCATCGCTCATTCTCACGGCGCTCTCTGTCTCTCACTTCAAAAGCCGCTGATTTCATTTCAGCGGAAAAGTAAGAACGAGTGAAGCACGAACGCCGTGGTATTAATATCGCTCCTCCCGCAAATCCGGAAATGATAATGACAAATTGCTCTCGCTCGTTGGCTTCGCCGATGTTTACTAAGATGGAACGATAGGGAGCGCATGGACTTTCTGTCACAGATGGGATCAAACATGCTTTCTCTTTATGCTCTGGTGCTGCCGCTCAGTAAAATGACTTCCCTCAGAAACATTAAGTTTTCTTGGCTTGTCTTCAATTATGTCACCATCACCTCGGCCTAAGAATCTAGAGTTGTAGGCCCCGGTTTGCAAACGTCCTTTTATTGCACAATTGTGGCTGTCATTTCAGCTTAGCTCTCTCTTAGGACACAATCGTCCTTAAGCAAGATTTGCTGTGCACATCAGCTATAAAAAGACTCCTAACCCCTCAGGCCTCTGCTGCCACTTATCCCGGTCTTACTAAAGAGGGAAACACTAATCGCCAACCTTTGAGTTGTCGTGACGTCTGCAGTAACACAGCGGTGGACGGTGTTGACCTATGCGGTTAGCAATGCACTTACTGTGTCAGTTCACTGACTTTAGGAAACCCCCCTGCTTCGCGCAACATTTTGCCATTTAACATTGAAATATCCGCAGTCAGTGCCACCAAAAACCCTCGGCTCAACTCTTGCCACGACAAGCATCTAATAGCTGATTTGTGTTCAAACGTGACCTGTACTTCTCTGTGGATAACGGGCAACTGAGCAAGGAAGAAGAGTCACACACTGTTTTAAAATCAATTTGATTTCAATTTGAGCAGTTTTTCTGTCTTGTGCTGGTTCATGTCCTTATGTGGTCACTGTGAGTAATGTTTCATTAAAGGGTTCATCAATAGTAATCAGCTGGCTCAGATGTTCACTTAACCCAGCGACCAAGACTTCCATTTCCCCCGTTCCAAATTCAAACACCTACAGTATGTGCAGTTAATAATTTGAGACACTGAACTCTAAAACCTTGGCCTAAAACAATTTATTACACAAATTGTAGTGGTTTCTCTGAATACAAACCTTTTTAGAGCCCTGCCAGTGTGCCCTGCCAGTTTTGTTTGACTGACATTGTATGTCGTGCTGAAAACTGTTAATTTCAGTAAAATGTATTGACACCTATTGAATGGATTTCAAATAGAAGTGTAGAGGGAATTTGTTTTTTGGGGTTGAAGTGGGGTGTAATAGACAGGACCTGCGGCAGAGGGTAAATAAAGGTATATTCTGGCAGACAATATGATTTTTATTTTATTTTGAGCATTGAAGTATGTCGACCTGTTCTAATACAAACCTATGCCTTATGAAACACAACTAAATACCTGCTAAATTAATGACATTACCATCTGCTGAAGCAAATATGATTTTAAAAATACACCAAACCAAGAGTGTGAGCATGCTAATCATACCTGGAACACATCAGCATTTTATCATCTCCAAGTTAGTTGAATGAATGCTCCACTTTGCCTTTATATAATTGTTTTTTAATGAGTTCTACCCTTTCACTAATGGCTGCTGCTAATGATGACTATGCATATTAACACACAAATAACATTATGGTGATGTTGCTCATAACCACGGGGGATAGTTGAAAGAATCATGATAATACATTAATACATAATAAATTATTGATTATTTTTGGCTTTCATTGATGTAACTTTTACTCTGTGCTGTAGAGTAGTTGTAGTAAGGTTCCCCTTTAGCAAGTAATAATTGTGTAACTACTTTGTGTATCTGGACAAGATGAAGCGGAAGTCCGGTGATTGTTTTTATGTGTAACAATTCAGTTTATATGTTACTGGCCAATTAATAAATCAATACACACAAAAACCCCTTTCAAATTTGGATTTGCCTGGAAATAAAATCACTAAAACATGGAGATACCAGGCTAAAAACACATCTCCGTGACAGCTCAGTGTGTGGACAGTAATCATGGACAGTTTCAAGTACTGATTTGAGTACTGAGAACTACTCTAGGAGAGGCTTTTGTACAGGCAGCAGGAGTGACAATCTGGATTTTTTGGTTCTTTTTTGGTTGGCTCTGGTTGGCCAATTTACACGTTCCAACCATTTCTTTTCCCTATTGAGTCCGACTAACACCACGCAAAAAAGAGCGACAGCTCCCATAGCCACTCAGAAGCCAAAATAGGTATGTGTTTATGACTCATATGCTTGGATGCTCGGTGGTTATTTTACTCTGGCTTCAGCCAGGTTTGTCTTAGAGAAATGTTACAGATGTCAGTGCAAAAAAGTGTTCATAAGCAACGCCGTGTGCAAATTATCTGCACTACTATGCATAACATATTTTCTAACTTTTTGGAGTTGTGTTTGGAGCAAGAGTAGACTGTAGCCAAGACTCTAACGTTTTTCAAACCATGTGAAGGATTCATATACTGTATCTGTTTGTGCTGAGCATAGAATATGTTGGTTGGAAGTCCTTTCAGGGCTACCTAGGGCAGAAAGAGCGTACCAGAAGATGGTACAAAGATAACATTTTTTTTTTCGATAAAAAAAACAATCCTATTCATACATTTGTATTTTCTTTCCACCATATATCCAGCCTTCAGCTCAGCCATCCACTCTCTGGATGGGGCGACGCAGCGGAGCGACTTTGTCTCCATTCTCAGGGAGTTTGGGAACCACTACGTGCAAGAGGCGATGTACGGCTTCCAGGAGTCCTGTACCATTTGGTACCCCAACAAACAGGTCCAGAGACAGCTATGGCTCGAGTACCAGGATATTAGCAAAGGTAGGACGCGCACTCATACACTGGAGAGTCACTGAATGAGGCCTTCGAATGGAAATGACAAACTAATTACTGGCCATAGCATTGAGGCTGGTAATGTAGTGTTTGTTTTTTAGGTAGATAGATACTTTATTGATCCCTCAAGAGGAAAATTTTGGTATCACAGCAGCATGTACAGGGAAGAAAATAGAATAAAAAGATACACATTATATACAATATAATAAGATAGAAATATTAAATTATTCAATTAAATAAAATAAACTAAAACTGAAGAATAACCTTCCAAAAGAGACAATAATAATAATTTGTAAAAGGAGAAGAGGAAGAGCAGCAACATCACAGCAGTACAGGGTTATTATTGTCATTATTTACTTACATTTGGTTAATTGGCCCGTCTCTTGATCATACTTTGGCTTCAGAGTGAATGCTTGCCAGGAGAAATACTTGCACGTTGCTTGGGACCACTTTTACCTAAGCTCTCTCTTGTTGCCTTTCTCTTTGGTGGTACCTGTGTTGTTGGAGGGAAGTAATGGGCTCCCAGGGTGACGGTGTTGCAGAAATATATTTGGGGCACTCATTTCAACCATTAGTTGTTTTTTCATCTGCAAGTGCACCTTATGGATTGTTTAATTTCTGTAGGTCTTTTATTCAATTGAATCAAATGTGTAGTAATCCATTATGGCAATTGTATCTTGGGCATGAGTAAGAACAGATAGGAAACAGACACATGCACAGACAAATGGGGCTTGGGGTTTGTGTGGACAACATAAACCATGCAAACAAACAGAAGGGAGCACTTCTCATTTATACTCCCGGGGTTCTAACCTCAATCATTTTCAGTACTTACTGAAATTAGCCTTGAAATGACTGATTTTCTGCTAGTGTTGGACGTTTAGTATTATTGTTAAGATGATGTTACAACAACCCCCCAAGACGACGCCACTCGCACAACACAATATGCACAAGCGATATTAACTGAATTTATTAAAAGGCATGTTCTAAATCCCTCAGAACGGATAACAAAGTTTACGGATAGGAGATTGTATTTTTTTTTTTGTTTTGTCACAGCTGTCACCTAATTATCTTAATGTTAAGTTGTACTGTAACAATGCACTGAAATGTGCACCTTTTGTCAACAATTTCCCCCTCACAACTCCTGAAATACCAACGCTCAGTCAGCGGTCCGGAGCTTCAAACTATTATGCTCAACCCATCCGTCTAGATGCAGTCTTACATGCTGTGTATGTATTCCCTGCTCGATGAATGCATGCATGCTAGGGTTTCAAAATGGACTTCCAAGTACCAACACCGCCAGGTTAAATGGTTTAATAAAGGTTTGTTAATTCAGACCTCAACTCACATGATCTCACATTGTGAGTAAAATTCTCCCATTGCTCAATTTTTTTGTCCACTCGCTGGATGGAGCGTAAGTGAGGCCTCGCACCCCGATCAGCAACGTTCTGTCTCACAGAAATTAGCGCAAACCACACAAGCAGCCTCCTCGGGCACTTCTGCTTAAGGGAATGATCAAAAGAAACAACGTCTCCACTCGTTGTTTTAGAGCTCAAAATGCCAGTGTGTGTCTGGCAGCCCTGTATTTGTAACCTGCGCTTGTTTTCCCAGAAGAGGCCGTTTCAGCCCAGCGGCGCCAAGGTCCAAAGTCCTTTCCTTTGTTAGCAGTCCTTACCTTTGTTAGCCTCTGCCACTTTTTCCTTACCTTACCTCGTCCGAGGACTCCCCTGCTGCGCCGCACCGCTCACTCCCAGTTACATCTGCGCTGACAGATGGCATTAGAAGACAGGCCCCCTCTCCCCACAGATGAGAAGTGTATTACTCTTCATTTTCAGCCGCCTCCGACGCAGCAGTTGCAGACACCGTTAAATGATTCAACAGAATCAAAATGCCACACTCCTGCGTTTTCAGTTCAGCTCTGTCACTTCAAATTATTATTCCACTATTCGTGTCAATTTAGGGAAAATTTCATGTTTTTATATTTGCATTGATCTGTGTCAGCTCAGTCACCCAGAAAAAAACTTTTTACAAGTTTAGATATTTGTGTGGCTATTAGATAAGACCATTATTTGTGCACTTTTATTTACCATAAACCAAAAAGCTTTAATTCAACAACTGCTCAATAACTTCCCACCTCCTACTGTATGTTCAACTATTTATAATGTTCGATTTACAGATTTTAATTATAATAGTAAGACTTCTTATTGGTCATCGTAAGAACAATTATAATTATAATTTATTCATATCATTTAGTACCATTCACAGCTACTTCCACTGCTTCTTTACTTTTCATCTTGAAGCCATTGACCACTCTGTGGATCTAACAGTGTGGTCCTCAGCCTACATCCCAACCGTTGTCTGTCCCTATGTCAAGGCAGCATCAGACACATCTCATTGGGACTGAAGAAGTCTGATCCGGGGACACATCCATCCATATCCATCCAGAGTTATTTTCCTGACAATCAGCAAACGCTGTGATTACGTTCAGCCTGCGAGGATCTGAAATGATTCAATCTCAGCGGGGAACCGTTTCAACCTGGCCCAGGACCATCCGTTTCCAGGACGGGAAATGGATTCCACCAGCAAAAAAAGAAGAAAATCAGAGTCATCTTTCTTAGTCCCTTCCCGGCTTCTTGGAATGGTCCTGGCCTTTTGGAGGGAGTAATGAGCTCACTGGAGGGTTTGATGATCCATGTCCTCGCCCTTTGCTTTAAACACAAGAGGTGCACGACTCCCTCCATATTCAGCGAGATCATTTTCTGCATCTTAGCAACCCAGGGTGCAGCTGCTGCATGCAGTTTTCAAGGCTTATGTATGTATATTGTTAATAATTACATATAAAAAACGATTCTCCGTTTACAGAGATGGTTGGTTTCTTGTGAATATAAAAATGCACTGATACATTCAGCAGGGATTTTCACTTTTTAACAAAATCAATAAAAAATAAAATCCCAGTAACTGTAGGACACCACAATTAATTGAAGACTTCCTAATGACACAGGAACTTGAAACCAGTACAAACACACACACACGCGCACGCGCGCGCACACACACACACACAGATTGGCTGACTAACAAACATATTTGATCTAGCCATGATAGAGATTAGAGCCCGGTTTGTTGCAGGAAAGAAGTACGTTGGCTTGTAAAGTTGGAGAGCTTTTATAAATGGTAAATGGCCTGTACTTGTATAGCGCTTTTCTAGTCTTCTGACCACTCAAAGCGCTTTAACACTACATGGCATCATTCACCCATTCACACCCATTCATTTACACCTGCCATCAGTAACTACCATTCACACACTGTAGTCGCAGCTACAGGAGCAATGTTGGGTTTAGTGTCTTGCCCAAGGACACAACGACATGCGGGTTAGCCGGGCCTGGGATCGAACCCACAACCCTCTGATTGGAGGACGACCGTGCTCCCCACTCACCCACAGTCGCCCCTGTGGTTATAAGGCTTTTAGTCACTGTGTGGAAACACTAAATGTGGTCGGATTCTCCACATTAGCTCAATTCTTTTCATACAACCCTAACTTCAAGTCTAATGTAGAAATAATTCCACATAATTTTGTATACTAGTAATAAGCTACTTAGTTTGATTGATTTGTTGATTTATTTTACTTGTTAGTGTGGTGGAAATTTGTGGATAAAGCCCTTGTGAGAAATTAAAAGTATCTTAAACTTGTTGGTAAGTATTTATTACAGAAATCATCAATAGAAGCCGTAAGTACAGACAGAAGTTAAATGAATCAATTCAGCTGAAAAGGGGCAGATTGTTCCTTTTCCCACAGAGGACCAAGCTTGATGGGGAGAATAGAAGCTTCAATTCCAATTCAGAGAGGTTTGTGTTGTGGGGATCGTCGTGGCGCAGGGGTAGAGAGGGTGCGCTGGGAACCACAAGGTTGGTGGTTTGAGTCTCGGCTGCTCCATGTCTCATGTTGAAGTGTCCCTGAGCAAGACACCTAACCCCTAATTGCTCCCCAGGCAAAAATGTAAAAAGCCAAGTCGCTTTGGGTAAAAGCATCAGCTAAATGACCTGTAATGTGTTGTCCAATCAGAAGACCACTGCACAAGGGAATTTCACTGGGAAACCCAGATGTCGTAGGAAAACACTTTGTCCCTACCTTAATGTGACCCAGGCAATCATGTGCTGACAGAAGGAGAAGCATACATTGGTTCCAGCTGTAAATACTGAGTTTAGATCACAGGTTCCCCAACAAGGTCACACACAGTTTCTGAGAAACAAAATGCAACTTCTTCCCAGTTAGCAACGCTCTTAATAGGTTGGGATTGACCACTATTACTAATTATTTGTGGTTTTATAATGTTTCACAGGCTCTCTGATGCTGTGCTGGTACTATTTTTAGTTTTTAGTATCCTCGTAGTACCACGTAACGTATTTCATTCAGCTTTTGCCTTCACTTAACTGTCTCTTATTTTTTTTGATCTTCCAAATGTTTTAGTTTTCTTATACTTTACATTAGTTTAATTCCTTGGGATAATCGTGCAGTATTTTAATATTCTGTTTTATTTTTTTTTTTTTATAACTGTATACCGAACTTAAGCAAAGTTCTTTTAACTGTTAAAACTGCTACATAAAATAATTTTGTGTTTTTGTTTTTTAAAGCCATCATTTGTATAGGTAGTTATACACTGACGTGATATGAATGTCAGGCTCTTATAAGATATTTATAGATGAAGGAGGTTCACACGTGTTGCTATCTGGGACATAACATCTTTGGTTGCAATGACTGACACACATTCTATTGCTCATGTCTGTGATGGAGATTTACCCTTTGACTCCATCCTGCTGCAGTAATCAACAGCCTCGCTGCCTTTGGGGCCGGATGACCACATTTGGTTCTGAGAAGTAAAGGCAGTTTGGAAGTGTCTTATATATATATATTCATTGAGGAAAATGGTGATGTGTTCAATATTTATTTTACCTGCTGTATATCTGCATGAGCACTGACGTTTTATTAATTAAAA